TGACGCAATCGCTGGTGCCGGATCGAAAATTACAACCTCTGATGAAGACTCAAAAGAGAGGAAAAAAAATTGCGATTCTTATCAGAAAGACAGAGAGGCAAATGCATACTATGATTTTATACGTGGCAAAGTTTAAAGAAGATAAATTGGACTTCATTTCGCAATAAAGTAACTAAAATATCTAGCTCATCTTTGAAACCACTTATGTGCGGTAGGAAACTTGTTTTACATACGTTGTTTCTAAACTGAGCCTGATATTGTAGTTCCTGATTGAAAGATGTGATTCAATCCATGAAGGATTCGACAAATCTCAAAAAAAAAAAAAAAAAAAAAAAAAAAAAAAAAAAAAAAAAAAAAAAAAAAAAAAAATGAATATAATACAGACAATACATTAGTATAGCACTATACATTTTGGTGAAGCAAATTAGAATGAATCAGCCCTGAAATCCTGTCCATCGGAAGCGAATTTTCAGACAAAAATAAAGATAAAATTGAAAATAATACACACAAAATTCTACAGAAAGACGCAATAGAGACTTTAATGCTGAACAGAGAAGTGATAGCTTTTCAGATACGGAACAAGAGGTTTTGCCCGAATTATCATCGAAAGTAGTTTAAAAATAAAAAATAATTCCAGCGAAAACTTTTGGGCAAATTGGTAAGAATTCTGTAGTTTTTGTATCAACCTAAGAGTGTAAGCTTAAAATATCGTGAGTTGATGAACGGTACTTTGCAGGTTTCTCCACCGTATTTCATGACGATACTTCGAGACATGAAAACGGATTGAAAGGCCGTTTTACTGTCCTGGAAAAAAAAAAAAAAACACATTGGATCTAGAGTCCGGACACTTAAAAACATCGACAAGAAAAAATACTCTTGATTCAATCGGATTATTGCTTGAATGAAAAGGAAATCCGCTCAAATTAAGAGGCTTGGTTCTTGATTTAAGCAAAAATCCGACTGAATCAAGAGTATTTATTCTTGTCGATGTTTTTAAGAGTCTGGACTCTAGATCCAATGTGTTTTTTTTTCCAGTGCTGACTTTAATCGGATTATTCATCACAGGCTGGCAGCAACGCGCCGGATTCCTTGACAGTACTTTTCTGCAGCATTTAGGCATTTCTCGCTTTCAAAGGGTTCGCAGGAGCCGACAAGATGAAATTCGCGAGGCAGACAACTTGGCCTGACTTTGCGGCTTAGCGAGGAGCAAACGAGCGAAGCACCTGATCAGGCTTCGGGACCGAGTCAAAGGCATTCTTCTGCAAGTGGTTCGCGAACCGGAGAGCTTCTTTGCAAGTGGTCCGCTAACCAAAGTGCACCGTGCCAATCCGCACGTTGGTCCTTTCGAGATAATGCGGATATTGGGAGACCGTAACTCCGTACTCTGAGCACAGGTGAACAAGAGGTCACTCATAATCTGCGCATACAGTTGGCCGTTGGCGGATTCAGCAATTTGGCAATATCGGATTTTCTCCGTTGAAACATACGAAAATTTATCGATTTTTGGAGGGGCCAGATGCTCCGACAAGAATCGATTATTTAGCATAGGTTTAAATGGAGGAAATCCGGTTTTGTCAAATTGCTGGATCCGCCTCTGCTTGGACTGAAGCATCGAGGGTCGATTACTTGTATTCGATTACTCAGGTAGTATTTTGTGGAGATAATTTATACTTTTTCTTCAAAAAAAATATCTCAGATTAATAATCTCGAACACATTCAAGGATTCAGTCGTTCATTGTGGCAATTTGGCTGGTTGTTCTAGTCTTAGCATTGTGTTTAAATTGTTTAAGCTTACTGATTAGGAAAAAAGAGAATGCTCGCACGCTGATATGAAAACGGAGCTATCGCCTTATGAAAAAATCCGGTGTAAGGTGTCATCCGCCACGATAGCGTACACATGCATTTATCAACATACTTACAGTTAAAACAAGCTTATTAAGACACTTCAAAATGTCTCTTAGTATATCTATTGTGCAAAATTGTTATCTGTACGAATAAAAAAAAAGAAAGAAAGAAAAAAAAATGCATTTATCATGATTTCTTCCATCCTATATTAATCAAGAGCAATACTCAAATTTGCACTGGTTGCTCGACTTAAAACCCGGCTTAAACCAAGATGGAATAAACAATGGTATGCACCACCACGGTGTTACATTATTGCAGATGCATGTTAAGAGAGCATCATTCTAAAGTGCAATTCTTTCACCTTCGTTTTAAGTTCGACTAAGCCGTTAAGTTCATTTTCGCCAAAACGTTATTGAACACAGAAAATTTTCATGAGGACCATTTTCAAGACTAAGTTTGCCTTTTGTTGTACAACTAGGGTGCTTTTTCACAATGCACGCGTTATTCATTGAAAATACAAACGAGTGTCTCACGGTTTCATAGCAGTGCTATCATACAGTACAACTTTTCGCGGATGTGTACATTTTTTAATCAATCGTCTCTAAATTGAATTATATTATAATAGAAAAAAATTCTTACTTCTTAGTTTTGCATACATAGGTACTTAGTTTCAGTTTCCTGTTTCATATCCACATAAATAGTTAGTTAGTTAATATATTTAAAGACATTCAGCGTCAATGCCCTTGTAGGTTAGTGCATATGTGTTTAGTTTCACTCCGTTATTCGAAGGAAATTCTGAAATGAAGCAACAATACAGAAAGGAGACGAGAAAATAAACGGAGACATGGCAAGATGAGGTTTGAGGAAATAGTACGTGAGGACTGAAAAAGGGGAGAGGAGGGTAAACTCATAAAGAACGTGAATGTATACATGTTTTCTTGACGGTCTGTGACTCAAATTATTAATTCTTGCGGCTAATGACAAATTCCGAGAAAATAGAAACTCGTTTCTTCTCACTCATTCGATACCAACTTAATTAAAAAAAAGAAGAAAAAAGCGGAGGGGGAACTTCTTCAATTGTATTACATTCACAGAAAAAAATCCGGTCTTCATCTCTGAGAGTCCAGGAGCCTCCCTATCATTCTGCAGCGAACCCAAGTTGGCGAGTTATTTTCAGCTTTTAGCATTGCTGCCATGCATTAGGTCAAAACATGTGATATTCCTGCACGACTGAAGTATGAAATGGACAATTAATTGCACAGTCTGGCATGTAAGACTACGAGACTATGTATGGCAGAGATGAGCTAAGACAGGAGAAAAAATAGGAAGATGATGGGAATGGATTTTCTACTCTTTGCGTCCGATTCAAGCTACGCAGCCATTCAAAAAAATATGTGCATTGGAGTTTCTCTACCTTAGTCTTTCCTATACACCCATAAAAGTAAAATATTATATTCTTGGAATTTCCGCTTTCCTCCGACCAGATGGGTAATTTCGTAAAATTTAAAATAAAATTAGAGGTAATTTAATACTCAGCAGCTAGACGTATATTCAAATTTTTCTGAATTGTTATGTTAAGGTTGTATGAATTGTTAACTTAAGGGCTGTTTGAGAAGATTTTATTGAACCTCTTATGTTTTAAACATTCATACTTCAAAGTTTAGATACTTCTGATGCTAAAATTTTTATTCTGATTTCTTCGCCAAATTGATGTATGAAATTAAACGAATAAACAAATTCAATGAATTAGTTCTAAGATTAAAATAGATCTGCCGATAAAAAAAACGTTAACTAAAGAGATGGGGGGGGGGGATNTTAAGCTCCAAAACCATGCACGGATCTTAAACCTGGTAAAAATTGTCTGCACAATAGTATTTTGAAACATTGCAGCTGTAGGATTTCTTACTGTCCTTAATTCCTAACCTTACACGGAGAAAAAAAACTCGTGCGTGGGACCCGAAGTTCAGGTCATATGGATCTCTGAAGTTTTCAGATTGAGCATCTGAACACTTTAGGTCTAGCTACCGAAGTTCGGATCATACATCTGAAACTTCAGTTTTCACATCTGAAGTACTTCAGATGTGAGAACCGAAGTACTTCGGATGTGAGAACCGAAGCACTTCGGACGTGAGAACCGAAGTACTTCAGATGCAAGAGCTGAAGTTTCAGATGTGTGATCCGAACTTCGGCAGCTAGACCTAAAGTGTTCAGATGCTCAATCTGAAAACTTCAGAGATCCATATGACCTAAACTTCGGGTCCCACGCACGAGTTTTTTTTCTCCGTGTAGAAGAGCACATCCAACTCAAAATACCAAATGCTTGATCTTTAGATCACAAGAAAATCATCCAAGGTTTTTTTCCCTTCGCACGGCGAGACAGAACGATTTGGAGGGGGCTCATTTAATTATAAGGGTTACGTTGGCTGATCACACCTCCGCTGCGGTAGAAAAACTACCCCTGTATCGGCTCGTTTAGGGTTGTTATGGTTTAATGGTAGATTCAGTAGCAGCGACCCTTTTGTTCGACTCAAGAGGTGTTCCAGCTCCCGACAACCGGTTGGGTCGCACACACTCTTCGAGGGCCGGTCTAAATTATTTTCGACACTAATAAATTAGAAGAGGAAACAGCGATCCATCCGGGTTTATGAGAGAAAGAGAAAGAATAAAAATGAAATAAGAATGGAACAAGTCCCGTGCCTAATTGCGTTTACGAGTAAATTGAAAGTAAAAAGGCGTTACTTCCCTTCGCGCCCTGCGACGGGAGTTTACCCTAACATCTTCGGGACATGTTGTTACTTGTCAAGCTGTGTTTCATGATGCGGAATAGAGTACCTGCATAGGTAGAGCATGGACACATCAAAACACCAGAAAAATGCCGATTCTAATCTTCGGATTTCAATATCAAAGCAAACTGGCCAAAAATGTTAATAAATGAGCGTCCTTCCGCAAAAATGAGTACATTTATGAAAAAACTCACAATTCTCATAATTTAAAATTTTTGTGAATTGTCATTTCATCAAGTGCGTATTATGACCCAAAAAAAAGGAGAACTCGAGTAGATTCTCTAAAAATGATAAAAATGACCCAAATTTCAAAGAATGTGAGGAATAGAATTTTTTTTCAATGAGATATGGAGGTACAAAATTGAAACTTACTTTTTGTATAAAATTCCAATGGGATCGCTGGTTAAATTAAAATCCATCTGAAACAGATACAAAACAAAGTATTAGAGCACGCCAAAAGCAAGTCAAAATGCACAATATTTAAGAATGCCATGTTGAAATCTACCCATATGAACTCGTCGTACTGTACTCAATAACAGCGCTCTTTGCGGGAGACTTTAACGAATGGATAGAAAAGTAGGAGCCGGATTTTAGGTCCAATTTAAATTTGAATAAATCAAATCTTCGACCAAAAAAGGGGGGGGGGATTTTAGAAACGTATGATAGGTGTCAAAAAGGCGCTTATCGCAGGAGACTTTAACGAATGGATAGAAAAGTAGAGGCTGTTTTTTTTAAAAAAAATTATGTAGTTGAAATAGAATCAGAAAATCAGGAGTCTCCGATTGTTACGTGTGACAATTATCGGTAATTTACATGTTTTTTGTAGGAGACTTCAACGAATGAATATAAAAGTAGAGGCTGGTTCTTAAGTTCTTACTTTAATTGAATCAAGAAATCAGGAGTCTTGAAGAATTGTTTAAGGCTTTTGTATATCTGCTTCAACAGCGGACAAGTGTTGTTAGCTGTGTTTTAGCCAACAATTGGAACAATTCTTTTTTAAATTCAACTTGTGAGGTGAATAAAAAGTTAGGAATATGATAAGAGCAGCTGTCATTGGGATAGATCTCGGCTTCCTCAGGAAGGAATATTGTTTCTTTGTTTTTATTTACACCGGTGGATATTGTTTATAATTTTCGATGCACTGGAAAAAAAAACACATAGGATCTTGAGTCCAGACTCTTGAAAACATTGACAAGAAAAAGGACTCTTGATTCAATCAGATTTAAGCTTAACTCAAAAGGAAATCCGCTCAAATTAAGAGGCTTGGTTCTTGATTTAAGCTTAGAATCAAGAGTATATTTTTTCTTATCGATGTTTTTAAGAGTCTGGACTCCAGATCCAATGTATTTTTTTTCCAGGGTGGCAAAAATTCGCCTCATGCTGGTAGTGAGTAATCTACGAAAGCATCGTCTCACGAGAAAACTACAACATCTCAATCGGAAAAGGATCGGCTGCTTAGGAGACGAAGAGTTGATCACACCTTGAGGACCTATCGTGCGGCCGTGGCCGAATCTCCGTATCGGTATCGAGGCCCTGGTCGAAATGTTGAAGCAATGCGCTTATATGGAAGCTGGTCCGGCCAGTCGCGAATTCTTCGCATCGTCCAGAACAGTTGTCGTCCGATTTCAGTCCGTTTTTTCGTTCAACCTTGCTTCCGTTTCCATCGCCGCGTCACCGTAAACGCGCAGAGAAGTGGGAATGTAGAGGCCACGAAACACCGTGATACGGAAAAGGATGAAACTTCGACTTTCTCTCAGATGAGCTTGATTCAGAAATATTGGAAAGTCTGTCGATTGAGATCTCCGAAAATATCTTACACTAAGGAAAATATTTGTTTTCCTGTGGTAATTATGGTTCATATAAGAAGTAAAACACAAACTAAGTATTCCAAATTTTGTCTGAATTTTCACGTAGTTTGCGTTGAATTTAGCAATGAGCAATGAATATTGAACAATAAAGAGACTGGGGTACCCCAGAGTCAACCAAAGACTTAGGTTATTTTGTTTTGTGCTACTTCTCGTATTAGCCAAACTTTTGTGTTAAGTTTTCATGTAAGTATCTGCATTGCCAACCAAAATAACAGGTTTAAAGATATTTTCCAATGTAAATGTCATTATACCTCATAACATGAAAAACTTATTTGGCTATTTTTGGAGCTTATCGTTTTCGAGACGAGTGCATTTAATCCCTAGTGAAAGAACAACAAATTGACTTAAACCTTTCTATGTTTAAAAAAATGTAATTCTAAAATTTATATCCAAAATTTTGCTAATTTTTGCAAGTGATCAAAAGAAACGGCCATTGTTAGAATTGGAAGATTTTTTCGGAGTAAAGAACAAAATGCAAGTAGAAATTCAAGAAAGTAGAGATATAGTCACGTTCCCTCCATCAGTTTATCAACAAAGCTCTACCCCTGGGTAGAGCTTATTAACAACCGTTATTACTGCTTGCCGCACCAAAAATGTCGATGAAAATATCGTTAAGAGCAATATTTTCAAGAAATATCACGCAAATAACCACGAAGAAAAAAAAAGATTGGCTGCAAATACCGCATTTCAACTTAAGTCATAGAACATCAAACTTGTTGGCCTCGATAAGCAAAGCCTTTGGTAAAGAATAAGCTTTAATATCTTGTCTCTGAATATGGCTAACAACAATTTCGTGCACCTGAACTAATTCCAGCTCCAATCACTGACCATTTCTTAACCTGAAGCAAAAACTTTAGTGGGTCATTTATATTGGGGCTGATGATTTGAATCTAGTTCTTAGACCTCCGCGATATCCTATTTCCTTCGCTTGATTTTGGCGACTATCAGTCACAGAAAAATAAAGTAACTTACATGTTAACAGCGACTCGTATATATACATGTTAACAACGAGATTGAGGTGCAAAAAAACAACAACAACACCAACACAAAATCCATGATGGGAGGGCCATGGAATCTACATTATTTCGTATACTAGTATGTAAAGGCCGAGCAGGGGCACGCGTTGGGCAAAAAAAGACGACAGGGCAACGTGTGGATGACGAACCAGTTCCCGGTTGGCTGGCGACCGCGGGACCGCGGGACTGCCGAGTCTTCCCGTCATGGTACCCGTGAGGGAGGGGAGAGGTTGAAGTTGCAAATTGCGCCAACCTCATTTTCTAGCTTTGACTATGTTTCGCGTGTTTAAAACCAATGTCGGATGAAGGAATTTCCAGGAACACACACAGCCTCAACCATTCACAGTTCTGTTCCGCAGCAATTTTTCCCTGTCCGGCCCGAGTACATGATGTAGTCGTGTATCGGGACATCCTTCCCTTCCCCTTTTTTCTTATTCATCGGACCCTCTTTTTAACCATGTGTTCGTGTTGCGATCTTAATTTTTGAAGAAGGATTTAGAAGAGCCGCTACGTAAGACCGCCAGCCTCTTGAAAACCACACCGTCCTTCGGAGAAAAGTTCTGGTCCTCCCGAGCGTGAGCTCCTATTGGTTTCAGATATCTGGAGCAAAACTTAATGAAAAGGATAATTTTTCCTGTTTTTTTTTTTTTTTTTTTTTTTTTTTTTTTTTTTTTTTTTTTTTTTTTAAACCTGATATCCTGTAATCTCACTTGGCGTCAATCCCTTGATTATCACACCTTTTGTCAGTGATTTAATATAACGATTATTGGAACCTTTACGGAGAATAATGGATCTATTTATGTTAAACATAGCTGATTCCCCGGGACCAAAAATCAGTCGTGATTTTAGATTACAGCATTGGCATCAATAATATTTTTGCATCCATCCTACGAGCCCGTTTAGGTGGTGGACAAAGTACGAATCGCTCGCAAATTGATTTTTTTTTAAAATTTTCTCGTGGAAAGCAATTTACGCAACAACAGTTATACCTAGGTACTTGATTTTTTGAAAAGGCTCGGTGATTATGTCGTTTTCTGTGTGCAATTTTTTAATTACAGATAACCGTGAGAACCCTTATCTTTCAAACAAGCATTTAAAAGTTACCGATACGTAACCTTTCCGGCGTCAAATTTGTACAATTTATCAACTAAGGCTAAAATCAACTTAAAAACTCAATTCGCTTACGTATCTAATTGCCACCAGACTAGTTTCGGGAGCTTTCATCCATCTCCCATCTTCAGTGGTTGTTGACTGATTCGGAATTCGTGGTCGCATTGCACGCATGTGGCTGAACTTTGGACTCCAATGCTCGGAACAGGATGTTGTCTAGTCCGTCCAAATCCTCATTTAAAACGTTCGCGCGGTGTTTAAAAATATATAACTTCTCTGCTGTGTTTAGTTGACTGACTTTGGTGACTGATTTGAGTAATTCAGGTTTTAAATCTATGCTGTGTTTTGCCTCCCAAAAATGCTTTGCCACTGCTGATTTTGTTGTTTCTTCGTTTTTTATGTTCCTAGCGTGCTCTTTAGCTCTTGTTTCGATATCTCTTTTCGTTTGTCCGATGTACACTTTCTCGCATCCAGAACAATTTATTTTATAAATTCCCGATTTTTTTAAAACGGGTGTCTCATCTTTTAAATTCCTCATTCCAATATTTCTAAGGTTGTATTTATTTTTGGGAGCTACGCATAGACCATAATTTTTAAAAACTTTTTTCAGGTCTGAATAAATTGCAGGATGATAGTTTACTGAAACCCATTTTCTTTCTTCACAATCCTTTTGAAGGGTGGTAATATTCCTGATTCGTTGTTTGTATTTTGCTGTGTTAATTATCCTATTGATTTCTGATGCCTCAAACCCATTTTTTTGCCCTATTTCAATAATTTTTGTCCTTTCCCTATTCAGTCTTTCTGGTGTCAAGGGGACTTTGATCATTCTTTGTATTAAACTTCTAAATGCGGCTAATTTGTGCTCACGTGGGTTATACGCTTTTTCATTGATGTATACGTCAACATGTGTGGGTTTTCGATATATATCGAATTCAAGCCTATTATTTACCCTGATTACTTTCAAATCTAAAAATGGGAGAGTCCCCTCTTTTTCTATTTCCACTGTGAAATTGACGGTATCTTCTATTGAATTCAGTCATTTCGTAACCATAAAAAATTATGGTCTATGCGTAGCTCCCAAAAATAAATACAACCTTAGAAATATTGGAATGAGGAATTTAAAAGATGAGACACCCGTTTTAAAAAAATCGGGAATTTATAAAATAAATTGTTCTGGATGCGAGAAAGTGTACATCGGACAAACGAAAAGAGATATCGAAACAAGAGCTAAAGAGCACGCTAGGAACATAAAAAACGAAGAAACAACAAAATCAGCAGTGGCAAAGCATTTTTGGGAGGCAAAACACAGCATAGATTTAAAACCTGAATTACTCAAATCAGTCACCAAAGTCAGTCAACTAAACACAGCAGAGAAGTTATATATTTTTAAACACCGCGCGAACGTTTTAAATGAGGATTTGGACG